TCCAGTGCTTCACCCGGTGTCTCTCATGTGGGAGACGAGAATGGAATCTAGACTGCGGCCTTTGGCCTGGCCTGGTCCCGGTTTTTGTGGCCACTGGGGGAGTTTCTCTTTTAGAAACTCCACTCTTCAAATAAATAAATGCCTCTACCCTGATCTAATTTCTTTGCTCTCTTCTATTTGTCTACTTTTGTTAACCTCCCTTGTTCTTTACTCCATTACCAAGTAATCATATTTAGATCACTGTTTATTTAGATTTGTTTAATGTTTAGCAAGTAATTTGCTATCTTTATTTCCTTTTAACTCTTCTTCTAGATTTAATCTTCTTTCTTCTAAGTACATCTTCTAGTAACTCCTTCAACAAAATTAGATTTTTTTCATTCAATTTCACTTTTAAAAAAATTTCCTTTTTAAAACATAAAGTTTATGACTTGATTTATAATCATGGAAGCCAACCATTTAAAACAGTAGAGAAAACAGTATTGAGCTACCTGAATTCCTCAAACAACCTCAAAAAACACAATTATATTACTACCTTCTTGATTTGTTTTAGTGGATATAATTTAATTGAAGATCTTCTGGAGATTATTGTTGAAATAGTGTGTATTGCAGTCTAATACTCATTCCTTTATAGTCTGCCTTATTTTCCATCTGACCTTCTTTTCTGATTTTACTTTTTTTCTTCTGATCTACTTTCTTATTTTGCTGTATGCAATTTCACCATATGTGGATTATTATTGATCTTACATGACAGTATGAGTTTCTATAATTTTGTATATTTAATTCTGGAAAATTCTCAGCCATTATTACTTAAAATGTTTTCATTTTTCTTTCTGCGTTACCCTTATATTACCCTGTCTGTATGACTTCCTTTCAAAAGTATGCTGGACCTTATTATTCTCTTCTCCATACTCTTAACTGTTCTTCAGATAATTCCCTTTATCTCTCTTTGCTGTAGATTAGGGATCTCTTTAAACCCACCTTAGAGAATACTTATTCTCTCTTTAATGTATCTAATCAGTTCTTTAACTTATTCACTGAATTTTAAATTCAGCTACTTTTCTAGAACTGCTATTTGGTTCTTTTTCAAATTCCTCTATAGGTCATAGATGTCATAGAAACCTGACTTTATTCAATACAGTTTCTATTCCTTTTTTAACCTCCTTAACACCACAAACATATTGACTTTTAATTCAAGTTTATTACTGTAATACAAACATATAGAAAATGAAAATTGTAAATGTAAATAAAGTTGAATGAATCTTTTAAAAATGAACATTACCTTCCAGCCAGGAGCAGATCAAGAAACAAAACATTTCCAGAATCCCAGAAATGTTCTCTTGCTCTCTTGTGGTCAGACTTTTCACCTAAGGGTCACCACTATCTTTACTTCTAGTACCACAGATTAGTTTTGCTTGTTCTTTTAATATTATGTCAACTGAATTGTACAGTGCAAATTGTCGCTCCCCCTCTTCGTGGAGGAACGACACAGGACCCTGCGCTGTTCTTTCGTCTGCTCGGCCCTCCCCGGGTTTGCTGCTGGTTCTTCCCGGGTTGGCTACTATCCCTTCCACCTCCATGGAAGGGCAGTTCCCCCTGGCCGCATTCCCCACTTCCGCAGGGGAGCGGCACACCGCCGGCCGGCTTTCTCGGGGGCTGCACGGGTTCCCTTAGATGTTCCCCATAGATGTTCCTGGTGCATGCCGTCTCTCTCCTCCTTTATAGTCCTCCTCCGCCAATCCCAACTCGGCTGCCCACACGCCGAGTACGCTGCTCTCCTCCAATCAGGAGCAAGTCCTACAGTTTATTAGTTGAACTGGAGGCAGCTGTGCGGAAGCTGTTTACTTCTCTCCTAGCGCCATATTGTGGGAGAGCAGATGCATAGAATAAGTCTTAATTCCAGTAACTCAGTCTAGTCCGGTTGCTCCCCACAGATCCCCCTTTCTTTTTATTTTTTGGCGTTGATACGCGCCTGTCTTCGGTGTCCCGCGGCACACACTCTGCTCTACTTGCTAGAGTTGCCACAGGCTCTTACAAGTCCTATCAATCAGGCAAACCGAATCCGGGTCCTCTCTTCGCCATGTTGTGAGGAGGTTTTTAGGCGCTGATGCGTGCCTGTGTTCGGTGCCCTGCAGCGCATGCTCTGGTCGAGCCTGCAGGGGCTTACAAGCCCTATCAGGCAAACCGAATCCAAGCCTTCTCATTGCCTTATTGTGGGGGAGACTTATTAGTGTTGGTTCGTGCCTATCTTCGGTGACCTGCAGCTCATACTCTGGTCGAGCTGCTTGCTGGCGCTTACCGCCTTAATTAGGCAGACCGAATCCAAGCTTTCTCATTGTTGTATTGTGGGGAAGCCTTACTGATGTTAATTCGTGCCTGTCTTCGGTGACCTGTGGCGCATAAGCTGCTAGCTGCCCGCAGGTGCTCATCGTGCTCATCGCCTCACTTAATCAGGCAGACCGAATCCAAACTTTCTCGTTGCCATGTTGAGGGGAGGCCTTTCTATTTCTCTATTTCTCTATCTCCGGGCATTCCTATTTCTCCCATTTTACTTCTATCTTCCAGCATTCCTATTTCTCTCATCTTACTTCTAAACTTCTGTTTCTCTTATCCCCGCAGCTTCCCGCTGCCCGCCCCGAGGCTACTTCTCGGCGGCTTCCCGGCTGAGCCGCTTCAGCCCGCGCCTCTTTCATCTGCGCAGCTTCCCGGCTTTGCGCGGCTTGGCTTCGCGCGCTCCGCGGTCTCCACGCCCTTCGCGTCTGCACCACGGCCTCGCGCCAGCCCCGTTCCCTATCTATTCACGCCCCGTGCTCTCTCTGCACGCGGCGGCTTCCGCGAGTAACACAGCGTAGCTTACGTGTCCGCCACTAGCATTCAATCTAAGTTCCCCGGGCTAGCCTGGCGAATTCAACCCAGCATACGTCTCCGCCCCACGGTTTGGCTTCCCGTCCTTTGCTCCCCGGGCTAATCAGACGGATCCCAATCTGGCTTACGTTTCAGCTTCTGGTTTCAACTTTTCGCCCCCTATTCCCGGGCTAACTTGAGAACCCCAAAGTGGCTTTCGTGTCCGCCTCGGCCTGCCCCCCGCGGCTTCAATTTCCCTAACATTTTTCTCTACCCGGTATGTTTCCCCAAGCTTTCCTCCAACAATACTCCTCCCTCATTTCTCCTGGCCTCTCCCCACAGTCCGCATCCGAGCCTGTTTGTTCTAGCTTTCACTTTCGACCTTAGACCTTAGAGATTTCTCCCAGCTTCCCCCTGTAGTCCGTATCTGAATCTATGCCTAGGCTTTCAATAGCTTCTTCCGGCACCCTTTTCGTCCGGCTTTTCCCTAGGCTGTTTGCTAGTCTCTCTCTCCGGTATTTTCCCAATTCTTCCCGTTTCTTCCCGTTTCTTCCCTCCTAAGTTTGCTATCCGTCCTAGGTTTCCTATCCGAGTCACGGCACCATTATGTCGCTCCCCCTCTTCGTGGAGGAACGACACAGGACCCTGCGCTGTTCTTTTGTCTGCTCGGCCCTCCCCGGGTTTGCTGCTGGTTCTTCCCGGGTTGGCTACTATCCCTTCCACCTCCGTGGAAGGGCAGTTCCCCCTGGCCGCATTCCCCACTTCCGCAGGGGAGCGGCACACCGCCGGCCGGCTTTCTCGGGGGCTGCACGGGTTCCCTTAGATGTTCCCCATAGATGTTCCTGGTGCATGCCGTCTCTCTCCTCCTTTATAGTCCTCCTCCGCCAATCCCAACTCGGCTGCCCACACGCCGAGTACGCTGCTCTCCTCCAATCAGGAGCAAGTCCTACAGTTTATTAGTTGAACTGGAGGCAGCTGTGCGGAAGCTGTTTACTTCTCTCCTAGCGCCATATTGTGGGAGAGCAGATGCATAGAATAAGTCTTAATTCCAGTAACTCAGTCTAGTCCGGTTGCTCCCCACAGCAAATATACTTATTTTTATGGGGTCTTTTCTTCTCCATGATAATCTGTATGCTTTAACTTTAATACCTCTGAACTACTGGTGTTAGAGAGTCTATTAAAGTACTTATATTAATTGTTGTTGTACTTCTTTGTAGTGATTTTAGGAATCATGGATAAACATTCATGATAATTATCTTATTTAGAAATCATGATATTCTCAAAAGCCATAAATCTAGACTTTACTCTGGTAGTATAAAACTAGTATGTTTGTTCTTTCAGAATTACTCTTTGTTTCCATCTAATTCTTCATGTCAGACTATATTCTACTTTTTATTTTTGTGTCCTAGTGTGTAAAGTTTTGCCTATTCTCTTTTTAGGGAAAGAAAATCCTTGAAGTCTCTGGTTTTATGGAGCATTAGCAGTATAGCTGTATAACCAGTGTCATCTTAAAGCATGTCACTTACCCTTTCTTACATTTCAGAAGCCCAGCCCTAAGTCCTTTTGACTTTATCCTTATACAAATTCCTGTGTTCTCAAAGAAAAAGGTTGTAAAAATTAACAGAAAAATAAGAAAGGAAGTAGATAGAAGGGTGGGAGTGAGTGAGTGAGGGAGGGAGGATGGAGTGGGAAGTGTCATTATATTCTTAAAACTGTGTGTATGAGATACATGAAATTTATTCTATTTATATAAATAAAATTTTAATAATAAAATTCCTGTGGATCTTCACTATATCAGCTCTCCTCTTTGCCTTCCACACACTTCTGGCTTCTGAGTATTTTTCTTTCTTTTTTTATATGTCATATATGTGTAAAAGTCTTCCAAATTATCTTATATTTATGAAAATCAGTAAGGGGAAGAGTGGATAATTTGGAAAATAGGCTTCCACGTCAGATCAGTCTACCATTCCTGGCAGTAGAACAAATCCGTGCACTTGCCGTGGCTGTGAGGCTGTTGACTAGACTTTCAGGTATTGTTTACGACTATGGGTCTGAGTTTTTCTTCTAGCTAAATTGCTTGGACCAAGTAGGACCCCTTAGTATTCTGAGCTGACCCAGTTCCACGTGAACTAATTTATCTTCTTGTTGTTGTTTTACAGATACAAGTTTCCAAAAACAATACTGAAAAGAAAAAGCCCAAATTTAGAAAAAGGAAAAGGTACGTTTTTTAAAATTAAAAAGTATTCAGATAAAAATGAAATAGGTACTTTAGAAGTATTTATTATATGGCATTTCCATCCATCTTTGATTTCTGTTTCACTAGGGAAACATTTTTTAAAATTTTCTAAAAGAATTAATAAAATGATTAGTAGTTTTAGAACACACACAAATACATTGAACAAGACAAGATTATTATCATATGAGGAACTAGAGAAGCAGATTTTTAGTTTAAAAATAGGTAATGCAAACCAGAAACAGGCCTTCATAGTAAATGATGAGTCACTGATGACATGTTTTAATGTTTATAATTGAACCAGGCAAATAGTTTATTTTTTTAAAGAATAGTAATTAGTGCTGTGTTAAAAGGAGTCCTACTGGAAAAAAAAAAAAGACTGATACTAACATATAGCAGATAGTCCTCCTTTTCTTTTTGCTATCCCAAGAAGATGAATAATTTTAATTTTAAAGTTTAATTTGAATTTTAAAAACAGATCATTATTGCTTTATCTCAGTTGTATTTCACAATAACCTCACCAAATAGATAGAGAGTATATCATAATTATCTCCATTAAAAAGAAGAAGAGTTTGTGGCTTGGAGAAGATAAGTGACTTTTTCAAGATCCTATGGTTGAAGAAAATGCATTGGAACAAATGTTTTTTGACTCACAATCAGCAACATATTATGGTAGAAAAAGAACAGATTTTGCAGTCTGACAGAACTTAGTTCTGTCATGTTCAGCCATTTACTTCTGCTGTCATATTTCTCAGTTTCTTCATATAATGAGAGTAACAATTAAATACTAGGTTTTTCTGGAGAAGGATTACATGAAAAAGCCTGTGTGTGGTGCTTAGTAGTTCTAGTGCTTTGCATCTAATGCAAGCTCAAACCAATACTAATCTCTCTTGTTTTTTTTTTTTTAACTGCAACTTGCAGTCTTACTGTGTACACAGCCAAGAAAAAATAGCTTCAGAAAAGAAATACATTATTTTTAATCTACAATTACCAATGAATATACATAAATAGTCATTAATGTGTGTGTGTGTGTGTGTGTATGATTGATCTTCTTGAAACTAAACCTACTAAACTCTTTTCTAGGAAAGCTACTTTAAAATGCTCTTTTGAAAATGTGTGTTCAGATGCAGCATTGTCAGAGGAAAACAAGGGTATGTGCATGCCTGTCCTGCTTTTAGTTTTTTGCCTATATTCAATTTCAAAAAATGTAGTTGTAGTCATTTGAAAGAAAAAAATGTGTTGTGCATATGCAAGACAAAGATTAATGGGTCATTTTGGCATTGATTTATATTCTGGGCCATTTCAGTTGTCTTTAGATTTCTATGTCTTTGAATTAGATTTGAGCTGGTTTTGTTATATGTTTAACTTTTAAAAAAACAAAGAACCAACAGTTGTGGGAGGAAATACCCAGAATTATACACTGGAATCCAGACCAACCCATTCCAAACTTACTGGTATCTCAAGGGGGAGGAGGAAGAAAAGCAACAGCTCTGGGCTTTGAGCTGGATTGTCACTCGCATGGGAACACAGCAGTAGGGTGAATGTGGAAGGCAAGGAGAAAGCTTCACTTTTCAAGTGGCTTTTCTTGTCCTACATTTTCCTTAGTCTTGAGAAGTAGGCCAAGGCTTATTTGCTAGAGGGAACTTTGGCAGGCATGTTCAAAGCCCATTAACCTCCTAGGAGTTACCAGTACCATACTCCGTCTCCCTGGAAGTCACCCCCAGATCCTGTGGCTTTGCCTTTCAATTGACTAAATAATCAACTCATTTATTGTTGCATTAAAAGAAAGAAAAGCATACAAGAGAAGGACAGCAGTTATGTTTTTAAAAATCATCTTCTTTCCCTCAACACTACAAAAATTCTGTTGTATCTTTCTTTTTCCAAACTCATGCCTCTGATTTTTTCCCAACTTTTGCTGTCTGTTTGGTCCCTTTGCCTCATATGATCTGTTCATATATTTTTGTAGAAAGGTGTGCCTCTGCTTATTCCTGAAGTGAGTTTCCCCCAGGAGACCTTGGCACTGTAGCCAAGGACTCCAGAACCAGGACCCTTCTCCCCTCCACTTCACACAAGGTAATCTAGAGGAAATACCCTGAAGCCAAGAATTCTCCATGGCCTGGATGTGACTCTTTCCTGTTAATAAAATCATACGTCCCAGTGGCTAGCAAGGAAAGGCAGACCCCTTGCAGGGGTCTCACTTTCTGTATGGGTCTAAAAACTAATTGTTAAAATATTGAAAATGATCTTTGTTTTATTGTTTTTAACTACAGAGGAGGAACATCTAGTCTGCCGTCTTCTTGCAAGAGCTGACTCACATCCTGAAAGGGTAGTTCTTTTTCCAAGTTTAATCCTCAAATTTTTTGTCCCAACCCATATTTCTGTGTATCTCTCATTTCATACCTCTAGAATCTCTCCTTTTCTTAAGCGTAGCTTAAGGTAGGATCAGTCCTGGACCAAAATGATAGAGGAAAGTTAAACCATCTTCTTGAATCTCTGCCCCATTCCTTGAACTTGCTGTGAACATGTCCAGCTCTTTGAGTTCTAGGTGCTAAAGTTTCCCATTAGTTTCCTGCTTCAGTCTTGCTGTTCCTGTTTTGACCTTGTGCTCTACCAGTTCTCTGTTCTGTCTCTCTCCCTCTCTCTCTTAGGTGTCAAGAGGAGATCTAGTTAACTATAATGTTATCTCTATAAGTATCAGATCCCTCATCTGTGAAAAAGAGTCAGTAAATCCCTCTTATCCAACAGACATGACCTGTTTCTGGAAATTAATACAATAAGTTGAGGAATCATTAATTAATTTAAACTGTGTGCCCATGACTGTATTAAGATTTAATCTAAAAAAATGAGTAATTATGAAGCATGGCTGCATTATGCAGTAAGCTGCTACCAGAATAGTATGTATTGTATTTGTATTATCCCTTTAACTCATTTTTTCATTGTTGAAACAAGGAAGCTAATCTATGGTGATGAAATGATAATAGCATTATTAATAATGGTGATGGGCACCTTAACAATTAGCACATGTTCTCACTGTTCTAAACAGTCCATGTATATTTGTTCATTAAACCCTCACAAGATCTGTATGAGATAAATAAACTAGATACTGAATGATCTCCCCTTTTGTTGATTGGGAAGCTGACACTTAGGAGGCTTTATATGACTTTTCTAAGAACACATAGCGTCTTAAAATTAATAGAAATGTGCACCTATTTACTTAGATGTTGTGAGTACCAGGAAGCTTATAACTAAATTTATAAGTTGGCACATTATTGATAATTGGTCCACGGATCTTTTAAATTTATAATCATCCCTCATATCTCAATTAATGAATTGATTTTGATTTCTTTTAGTCTTTTGAGTTTTGCTGTTTTATTGTTTAACTATTTTCTGCTGGTAGCTATCACTTATCTGGGGGGAATATATAGACTATAAAAGTTTGATTGACATTCTTGTATTATCCAAGAGCAACTAACAATCTATTAATATTCATGATTAGATTATCAAAGACAGGATAAGCATGGAAGAGAAAGGGTAAACTCTAAAGGCAACATGAAGGCCCTTAGGGCTTGGATCCAGGAGGGGGAAGGTGATGGTTACCTTTAACTTTTAGACTAAAAGATGTTGTTGGCCTTCCTCCTCTTTTCCTCTTATTTTTGTTTATTTCTGAGAATAGCACTCTTTATTACATCTCAGCCTATATTTTACTCATCTCTGCTTTTAAACTGTAAGCATGCAGAGGATTTTTTTGTAGTTCCTGAAAACAAAATCAAGTACATTTTCCTCCTCTCTACACTCTGCTAATAGAATGCCTTCAAAATTTCAGCCTTGAATTAGCATTGGAAATTTATTTTTTCAGTGCCAGCTTTGGGGTGACCCAACCTATGACCCCTATATAAGGAAGAATAGCTTCTTTAAACATTTCATAGAGCAGTAGAGATATTTAAAAAACTCCATAAATATATATAGGAAATATTTTTAAACAGTAACTGATTTATTGAGACTGTGAGTCATTTCTTATCAGAAATAGAAAAATATCATTGATTTATATTGCCCACATTCATATTTAAAAGTGAGATGTGGATGGGAGTATTTGAGATACTTTCCTTTTTGTTTCTTTTTCTTCTTTTTTATATCCTCTGAGTGATGGAGCAGCTGTAATGCTACCACTTTACTTTCAACAACAAATTGAAAAAAGTCAGAGAAACTATAGGATAATCAGTATTGATAGGAGATGATTGGTCATACAATCAGCAAAGGCAATCATTTTGTCTCTATCTTTGGAGGATATTATTGACCAATTTTTATAAACCTAGTTGTAGGTTACAGTAACGGCAATTTCAGGAGAATTATTTTTGAACTTCAGTTCACAATATAGGAATATCTATTTAGAAAAGAAAACCTCCCATTGCTGTGGAATCAAGATTTGATATCAGTAAAGTTGATGTTATGAACCTGGTTGATTTTTAAAGTCATCCACTACTTTGTCTACCCTCTGATCAACAGCAGTGTACATATTTTTCCAGATCACTTGAAAACAGAGAGCTTACAATGCCATTTGGTGATGACATTCATTATCATAATTTGGTGGTATTTTAGCCGAACATGAGAAATATGAAGATATGAGAAATATGAAGACACTTGTTTGCTGTTTTTCCTTTACAGCACATCTCAAAATCCATCTTTTCAACAGTGCATTAAATTTTCGTGTCAATTTCTATAGACTCAGAATATAAAGTGGGAAAATACATTTGTGAGTGAGACTGCAGAACTGCTATCAAGATAACCACAAGTAGCCTTCTATTAAGTAGCAGGTTACTGAGTAAGACATATGTCAAAGAGGGTTTATAAAATTGTTTAATGAGGCCAGTGCCGTGGCTCACTAGGCTAATCCTCTTCCTGTGGCGCCTGTACCCTGGGTTCTAGTCCCAGTTGGGGCGCCAGATACTGTTCCGGATGCTCGTCTTCCAGTCCAGCTCTCTGCTGTGGCCCAGGAAGGCAGCGGAGGATGGCCCAAGTGCTTGGGTCCCCGCACCCACATGGGAGACCAGGGGGAAGCACCTGGTTCCTGGTTTTGGATTGGCGCAGCGCATCGGCAGTGGCGGCCATTTGGGGGGTGAACCAATGGAAGGAAGATCTTTCTCTCTGTCTCTCTCTCACTGTCTAACTCTGCCTGTCAAAAAAAAAAATTCTTTAATGAAAGCATACATAGAAAATTCTAATTAAATAGGCATGGAGTTGTCTCTATATTTTTAAATAAATTCCCCAACTAATTCTCATGCCCACCAAATTTTGAATACCACTATTCTGGAATGTAGCACTCTGGACTCTGTATTCTTAGGCTTTAGCAACAGCCACCTTAGACATATCAATTTTAATTCAACCAACATGATAATTAAAGTTTTTGTTTGTTTTTTCAAATATAGTTTGAAAGAAGCTTTCCATAGAGGAAACTTAATATTGGCTAGGAAAACTTGTTGCTCTGTACATAATTTCTTGAGTTAATGGCCTTCACTAAGTATACAATAAATCTTTTTGGCTGAATATAAAAGGCTTTGGGATAAGCAATGAATATTGGCAAAAAATTATTTTGTAGCAAAATTCTAATATGAAAAATAATTTTTCTAGGGGCTGACACCATGGCTCACTTGGTTAATCCTCCTCCTGCAGTGCCAGTACCCCATATGGGCGCCGGTTCTAGTCCCGGTTGCTCCTCTTCCAGGCCAGCTCTCTGCTGTGGCCCGGGAAGGCAGTGGAGGATGGCCCAAGTGCTTGGGCCCTGCACCCGCATTGGGAGACCAGGAGGAAGCACCTGGCTCCTGGCTTCGGATCAGCGCAGCGCGCTGGCCATAGCAGCCATTTGGGGGGTGAACCAACGGAAGGAAGACGTTTCTCTCTGTTTCTCTTTCTCGCTGTCTACAACTCTACCTGTCAAATAAATTTAAAAAAAAAAGAAAAAGAATTTTTCTAAAACTAAAAATTGTTTTTCAGGTACTATAGTGTTAACCAAGAAAGGGAATTTTCTACTTCATAGGCTACCATTATTTTATTTAACACTTTTAATGAATAACTTTTAACAAATTTTTAAATTACGCTTCTTATGTCCTATTTGAGTATGTTTCATGTACCATGAATTATCAACTGTTCTACCTGGTGTGGTTTTTTTGCTGACCTGCCAATTAATGGCAGATAATAGCAGGTAACATGTTAGATTTCATTAACAAGAGTGGAAGTTGAAGGAATTTGTACTTACGGTCTTTCCTTCCAAATTATGTTGTCTTTGGAAGGCCGTCTCAGGTTCTCTGTCTCTGGTACAGGGCAGCAGGATGCACATGACTCTTATCATTGATGTTTGTTTCAACAAAGCTATATCAAATGAAAATGTTTGGTTTTTGATTTAACTCAAGAATTCAAATGCATATTTTTAATCAGTATAGAACTTGTATTTCTTTGGTAGGGGGTATTATCTTAGCTAGTTGGATAAATTTTAAGTTGTTTTTTCTTTTCAAAATTTTTAATTAACTTTTACTTTTTTAATTTGTAACAAATTCAATATAGTTCACAGATATGATTCTAAGAATATAATGATATTCCCTTCCACCTTCCCTTCCCTCCCTCACTCCAACTCCCTCCCTTTGTCCCTCCCTCTTTCTCTCTCTTTCTTTCTTTCTTTTTTCTTTCTTCCTTTCCTTCTTCCCTCCCTTCCTTCCTCCCTCCCTTCCTCCCTCCTTTCCTCCCTCCCTCCCTCCTTTCCTTCCTCCCTTCCTTCCTTCCTTCTTTCGCTTTTGAGATTACATATTTTTAATTTACGTTACAGTCAAGAGCTTGATGTTTCTCTTAATGAAGATTTCAACAAGTAAAAATCCAAAGATCCCAGTTTAGTATATAAATATAGTCAAGGACTATAAACAATAATCAAGTGGAAAGATGATCATTTCACCCACATATGACAAATTTCAAAGTACTCACAGATCATTAAAACTTTAGTGGTATAACATTCTTAACATTGGTTTGACAAAGGTATATAATAAAGTTTGACAAAACTATATTTTCAGAAATACAAATACATACAGGCACTTCTTTCTTAATTTTTTCCATTTTTAATTTTAACTTCCACATATAAAGGAGAAACATATTTGTCTTTCTGTTTCTGGCAATTTCACTCAGCGTGATGTCCTCCAGTTACATCCATTTTGCTGCAAATGATAGAATTTCATTCTTTTTTATAGCTGAATAACATGTCATTGTGTATCTATGCCACATTTTCTTTATCCATTCATCTGATGATGGACACCTTAGTTGATTCCATATTTTAACTATTGTGAACAGTGCTGCTATGAACATGGTGGTTCAGGTATCTCTTTGATATGTGCTCATATCTTTTGGATATCTACCCAGAATTGGTATTGCTGAATCATATAGCAAGCCTATTTCTAGTTTTTAAAGAAATCTCTACACTGTTTTCCACAGTGACTGCACTAATTTACATTCCCACCAATTATAAGCATTCTCCCTTTCTCCACATCCCTGCCAGCATTTGTTCCTATCTTTTGTATCTGACCCATTCTAACAGGGGTGAGTGATATCTTACTGAGGTTTTGAATTGCATTTCCCTGATGGCTAGTGATGTTGGGCATTTTTCATATATTGTTGGCCATTTGTATTTCTTCCAGACAGAACTGTTTGTTGAGGTCCTTTGCCATTAATTAACTGGATTAATTGGTTTTTGTTGTTGTTTTTTGAGTTGCTGGGTATTCTGGATATTGATCATTTGTTGATAGGTAACTCACAAATATTTTCTCCCATTCTGTTGGATGTCTCTTCACTCTGTTGATCATTTCCTCTGCTATGCAGAAGCTTCTGAGTTTGATATAATCCCATTTGTTTAGTTTTGCTTTTGTTGTCTGTGATTTGAATGTCTTACAAGAAGTTGTCACCTACACCAATGTCTTGGAGTGTTTCCCCTATATTTTTTTCCAGCAACTTCATAGTCTCAGACCTTGAATTTAGGTCTTTTGCTCCATCTTGAGTTGATTTTTGTATATGGTGAGAGATATGAATCCAATTGCATTCCAATTTTGCCAGCACCATTTGTTGAAGAGATTATCTTTACTCCAATGTGTGGTCTAAGCACTTTTGTCAAAATTCAATTGATTGTATGTATATGGATTAATTTCTTGGCTCTTTATTCTGTTCCATTGATCTATGTGTCAGTTTTTATGCCAGTACTATGCTATTTTAATTACTATAGCTTCGTAGTATGCTTTGAAGTCTAATATTATGATGTCTCCTGCTTGATTTTTTTCCCCTCAGGATCACTTCGGCTATTCTGGGTCTTTGTGATTCCATATGTATTTTAGAATTGTTTTTTCTAAGCATGTAAAGAATGCCATTGCTATTTTGATAGGGGTTGCCTTGAATCAGTGGCAATAGCACACAAAGTCTTTGCAAGTGCAATATTTTCAGCAACTAAGATGTGTTATCATTTGAATTAGGAATAGCCACTTAAATGCTTTTCCTTTTAAACAGTAGTTTATTAGAACATGTCTATTCTTGTTCATTTAGGTTGTATAACTGTATTTTGCCTTACAACAACAGAATTGAATTGTCACAGACATCTGCCTCACAGAGGCTAAGTTTTTGCTCTCTGATGTTTACAAAAATATTTGCTCCCCTCTAAAAACAATATAATTTTGTTTAGTGCCCTTGGCCCCTAATTAAAAAAAACTTCAAGTGAATTTTTGATATTTCAGGAATTCTTTATAGTGTATGCATAGTAAGAATATAACTTACACTTTTCAAGGAAAAATATGAAGATTAACCTGGAAATGCCTATTAATTTTACATGAAATAGTCATATGTAAAACTTATAGTGAATATTTATGTTTTGTCTTACAGCATTTTTTTTCTTCGTTCTGGGTGGCTAACGTTAGGAATTAGATGGTGAATTAGATTGAATTAACTAATGTGTAGCTGTTTTAACCATATTAATGGTGTTTCTTTAGTTGTCTCTGAGACAGAAATTTTACTAAAAGAGCTGGAGCAAATGCTACAGCAAGCACTAGAGCCCACAGCAACACCTGATGAGTCTGAGGAGGAACATAGAGAAGAAACAAATACAGGAGAAAAGGTAGTATTTACAGTTGTTATCAGGCCTAAATGACAACTTCAAATTCTTTAAACAGCAGAAGTGTTCATGATGATCATGAGGCTAATAATAACTGAGCTGCCTGTTGACAAATCAGAATATGTTCTTCGGTGTTGAGAAAATTTCTATGTTCAAGCAGAACAGTTTTCTTATTTTGGATTTTTGCTGTTAGAATGAAGAGCGATGGAGGGACTCAATGGAGCTGGGGTGGGCCACTTCAGAGAGACTGCTTTGCTGCTGCTGATTCCTGCAGTTGGTGGAAGGGACCAACATAACACTCACTAGAAAACTTAGCAGCTTAGCAGCTTATTGGAAAATCTGTCTCTTTTGATTCATGCACAAAGATAGTCTCTGTAGGGAAAAAAGATCTTCATTATTAACATACAGGAGGTAGAACTTTCCCTGGGACTGAGTATCACTGTTAATATCTAGAGTTATCTTTTTCTCCCCTTTTGACCAACTGTGTTGGACTCAGAAAGCACATAGGTGCTTACTCATTTCTGTATCTCTACAAGTAAAATGAGGGTTCCTGGTATAAGGCCCAGGTTATTGATACAGCAGCAATGAGAAAAAGAAGTCATAGGGGAGATAATGTCCACAAGTGGAATGGTTGTTCCCTAAATAGTCAGGAAAAAAAAGGGCAGCAAGGAGTTGTATAACAATCAAGATTTCATTCATTCATTCATTTAGATACATAGTGTGCCTGAAGTCCTGAGAGCATATTGAGACTGACCCTGGAGTATAATGCTGGTGTTGCAGCCTGGTCTTACCACTAAGGACGTGTATAGTTTGGCACAGTTGCTTATCACCAGTCTCAGATGATTGTTTTGAAGATTAAATAAGATAAACAGAAAGTGCTTTAAATAGGAACAGACACGTAAGGTTTGAACTAGCAATGGGAGTGTCTCCAAAAAATAAGTGCTTCATTTCTCTTTCTCCATCTTCTCACTTTGAGCAATTACCCATCACCAAGTCTCTCTGTTCTCTGGTGCAGAAAAAGGATTTATAAATGGACAAGGTGGTTTACAACTTTGGCAGACTGCCCAATTGTGTGATTTCATTCAGAAATTTAATGGGAATAAAGACAGTTCTTAAACACCTTATTTATTGAGTTAGAAATTAGAAAGTATACAGAATTTACTTCTATAGAGATAAATATGTTAAAAGAAAATAAAATTAACATTAGAAACTTCTACTGAGTTGAAAACCATTATAGTTTTCTGAATCAGCACCAGCAATGCCAAGCTTACCTGGATTTTCAAGAGTTGTAAATGCCATTTTTGCAATTAAGTTTCCTTTCTAAAAAGACTTGGTTTATATAAATGGATCTTACTTTTTGTAGAACAAGATATATAGATTAGTAACATATATGTAATATACATAGAATTAATATACAAATTATTCTTTTCTAGCAGTTTTTTTACTTTGAATACCATATGGATTCATGCAGTGTTTTTTCAGTCTTACCAATTTGTCTTTTTAAAAATGCAACCACGTTGATTTTTATAGTGATGTCCTGGAGTTTTTGTAGCCACAGAATTGGCTTCTATTTTGCCATTATAACTGGTAACTCAGTCAAATAGAAAATCACTCCTGATTTTTATTTCTGAAGGTAAAATACATAGTTTTATACAACACCAGGTGGGAGCTCATTTTTTGTTTTAGATTCTTAGATTCTTTTGTACTTTCAAAAGGCACTTAGGAATTGTAAAAATTAACCATTTTAACTTGATGACGGGCAGGTGAGTGCCTCCTGCTGACTGGTTCATGATACACTGCACACTGAGCTTTGTAAATCTGGCATTCATGCCAGGTTTGGAATATTTAGGGCCATGTTTGCTTTGAAATGAGGAGAAAAACAATGAAGCCAACTATCAAAATTGGAATGATTTCCAATTTAAAAGAACTGATCACCTCTAGGATTTCTTTTCTTTTTTATTATTAGAATTAATATGCATTTCAAAAGCAACTCCATTTAAAACCAGGGATGTGTTCTGTTTTTAGGAGGAAGTGGTTTATTATAAACTACACATGCCACAAAGAATCACCAGATAATTTTAAAGTCCTGAGCATGTTGATTCTCTGAAAAGATCCTGTATGAGTTATTTTCAAAGTTATAAAATATTTTCTTCATTCATTGCACCTATGAGGTTTCAGTCAGATTCCTCTCAAGTATTTACACCAAAAGAGGCGAGTAGCAACATGGCAAAGAATTTACACACATGGATAATCAAAACTCATTCCTATTTGTCATTGAAATGCTTTATGAGATTATTTTCCTCAGTAGAGTCACCTTCCTAATTATGTGCTTCTGTAGCTAATAACACTGGTTGACATGTCCTGACTTGGCAGGCAATCGGAGGAAATTAATTTTAGATATTTATAAGTCCATCTGAATAATTCACAAATTAGATAATCCATATACAAATAAGACAGAGTTAACTGAATAATTATTAGTATTAAAAAGTACACTTTTTGATTTTGAAAATACTTGCATGAACTGCAAATATTTTCCTTTATTTCCCCTTGAATTACCTGGAACGTTAACCCTACCTTTAACAGACTTTGAAGTTATAAATCTCATACCTGTGTATATGCAAGTGTGTGTGCATGTGTCTACTCATTGTTTTCACGACTGTCTTTTCCAGTTAAGGTGGAGTGAACTACCACTATCTGTAAGTAATGCAGATGCTTATGAGAAAATTCACACAGAAAATGTAACTAAACAAGTTTTAATTTATGTTCTCTCTAATAGTAATTAAAAAACTAATACAGAGGGGCTGGCACCGTGACTCACTTGGTTAATCCTCTGCCTGTGGCCCCAGCATCCCATTTGGGCGCCGGATTCTAGTCCCGGCTGCTCCTCTTTCAGTCTAGCTCTCTGCTGTGGCCCAGGAAGGCAGTGGAGGATGGCCCAAGTGCTTGGGCCCTGCACCCGCATGGGAGACCAGGAGAAGCACCTGGCTCCTGGCTTCGGATCAGCACAGTGTGCTGGCCGTAGCGACCATTTGGGGGGTGAACCAACGGAAGGAAGATCTTTCTCTCTGTCTCTCTTTCACTATCTACAGCTCTACCTGTCAAATAAATTTTAAAAAAAGCCAATACAGAGAATTCAAACAAAATATAAATGATGATGTTTTTCAAATTAGAAAATTAAAACTAAAAATGTATAATATTGGAGAATAGAGACAAGATCTAAATAATCACTAATTTATCATATACGATAGGATGTATGGGGATCATTATTTGACCACCAGCATAACAGAAAAAGCTGTTTAACTGCTATGACTTGAGGAATTACTCTGTTTTGTTCAAATAGTCAATCAAATTTGATGTAGTTCTGATGAAATATATGATTGTTTTTACAGTTGTCAAAATGCAGTCCTGAAGCTCCTGTAGGCAGTCCATTTGAAAACCACTATGAAGAAGACTATCTTGTGATTGATGGGATAAAATTAAGAGCTGGAGAATGCATTGAGAATATAACTAGCAAGTTTAAAGAAATAGATGCTTTGATGTCTGAGTTTTAGGGTATTAGACATACCTTCAAAAGTTGACTATGAAGACATGGGCATCTTTATGTTTTCCCAAGGTAAAAAGCATAAAAATATCTACTGAAGTAGGTAGGTACACATTATACAAAAGTAGATATTTGTAGTAACTTTCTACTTTATATTTTGAGAATGTTCTTCATTTTGAGACACAATCAAATGGTGTTTAAATTAGTGTTATAAATTTAGAATTAAAAAACTCTTGATGATTTTATTTGTGGATTTTTTTTGCTTTTTGCCTTAATGTTAAAATAACTTATGAAATTTGCTTCCCCAAACACATATTTTGCAATGGTTATTGAGGTACTTTATTCAAATGTGGCTAAGTTAAAGTGCCTTCCCAAGCTATTTTAACTCTTAAAGATGATTCAAATCTACTATTATTAGAGAATGTGTATTTTCAGTGAAATGAAACTATTTCAAAAAAATGAAATAAAATAAAAGTGGCGTGTAATACATAGAATTGGAGCTTTTCTTAAAAAACAGAAATGTCAGGCCGGCGCTGCGGCTCACTTGGCTAATCCTCTACCTATGGTGCGGGCACCCTGGGTTCTAGTCCCGGTTGGGGAGCCAGATTCTGTACTGGTTGCTCCTCTTCCAGTCTAGCTCTCTGCTATGACCCGGGAAGGCAGTGGAGGATGGCCCAAGTGCTTGGGCCCTGCACCTGCATGGGAAACCAGGAGGAAGCACCTGGCTCTTGGCTTCGGAATGGCGCAGTGCCAGCCGTGGCAGCCATTTTGGGGGTGAACCAGCAGAGGGAAGACCTTTCTCTTTGTCTCTCTCTCTCTCACACTGTCTAACTCTGCCTGTAAAAAAAAAAAAAAAAAAAAAAAAAAAAAAGCCAGAAATGTCAATTGAGATTCTAAGCTATTCGTGCTTAGAAAAAGGCTGCAATTCAATACCACTCTGAGAACCAGAGAGACTAGGAATATTCTCTCAACACACCATATTTCAATTTTAAGTGACATAAAACAGTGAGGGCTAAGGCTTCTGCTTTTTCTTACAGCTGAATTTACTCCACAGCATTTCAGAAAACTCTTGGTCTTTTTCTTGGCAGTATGATGTTGTATTCACAGCTTAAAAGATGTCTCAAGAAGTAACTGATCCCATTTTTCAGTACTGCTTAGAATCAACTATAAAAATTACTACAATTGGAACTGACTTTATCCACAATTCCAGTACTCGCTGTAAACCCTATCCTGTAGAACAGTTAGATAAACTTGCAGCCAATTCCTCTTTCTGGAACAGCTAGTGCTCCTCAAATCAGATTCCACAGACGAGAAGCTGACATTTCCAGACTGAATTCATCCTTGCCACGATTTGAGTTGTGGAAGCCAGGGATTTCCACTGAAATCTGTGCACTTCAGCAGCTGGAAGTGGCTCTGAGGACAAACATCTTGGCTGGATTCATCTGCAGAGGAAACCATAATCTACTTGTAAGACAAGCTGAGGCAACCACTGTCTCTGTGAGAGTTCAACCTTTCGAATTTCAAGACAAAATGTGCCCAGGAAAAAGGGTGAAGGAGCCTGGACTAACATCTCTGTCCTACAGGGCTGAGAATCACGCCTGGCTGGCAGCTCTCTGCAGGTAAATGTTCCCTATTTAGACGCAAGCCTATAACATAGATAGGGCATGCCAGTGGGACTGTGGACTCACAGATCTGTGGACAGCACAGATCCAGGTGCTGCCACCTAACAGCTGGGTAAATTTAACTTCTCTGCACCTAGGCCATTTTTCATTTTTAAAGTGGAGGTTGCTTTGAAAAGAAACATTAACACACACAAAATTCATCTAATAGGGGCCAGCACTGTGGCATAGTGGGTAAAGTAGCTCCCTGCAGTGCTGGCATCCCATATGGGTGCCAGTTTGAGTTCCGGCTGCTCCTCTTCCGATCCAGCTCTCTGCTATGGCCTAGGAAAGCATAAGATGGCCCAAGACCTTGGGCCCCTGTACCCATGTGGAAGACCTAGAAGAAGCTCCTGCTCTTGGCTTCAGATTGGCTCAGCTTCGGCCACAGCAACCATTTGGGGAGTGAACTAGCAGATGGATGACTCTCTCCTCTCTCTCCTTCTCCTTCTCTCTCTCTGCCTCTCTGTAACTTTGCCCTCTGCCTTTCAAATAAATAAATAAATCTTTAAAAAATTCATAAGATAGCCCTAATACATGAAAAATTGTGCTGGTTTTGACTATGATTATTGTTTGCTTGTAACATTTTTCTTCTGAGTGGCCCTACCATGCCTTTCTTATGCAAGCAGATGACCACGCTGATGTCCACAGACACGGTGGTGACACACTCCTTTCTCGGGGCATTGGACCAAAGGCTGAGTATGTCTGGCTGAGGTGGGCAATACCCTGCATTTATAGCTAGTTCTTCTAGCTAAGTCCAGAGGACACCATCGTAACTGCAAATGCGCACCAAGAGAGTAAAATTATACCAAGTTTGAAATATGAGTTATAAGGCAATATGCAGGCCATCTGCCCAAGCATTTGAATTGAAATCAAGAACCCTCCTTGGTCCACTCTGAGGAATGACTGAGTGATACTCTTTGAAATGATTTGGACCAAGCTCTTTTACTCTTCAGTCTCCATGAACTAATCTGTGAAATATCTGCATCCATTGGGATGCTGAGACCCATTGGATCTGCCTAGCTTACATAGTTGATTGCCAAAGCCAACTCTGTTAAATCCACATTCTCGAAATCCTGGTCCATTTTTCCCATACTGAGAGCTGAATTTATACAGATTTCCAGTGGTAACAGACTTTATCTTTATTGGAGACAAGCTGGGTTGATCTTCTGTGGCCAACAGTGGGACAGAGAGGGAAGTTCACCCGTGTATTTGGAAGTCTGTAGTACCTACAGCCTTGAACTTACTGGCTGGCACTTTAATGGTGTAATGGGGGATAATGGGCCATAGACAGTTTATTCCTTCACTAAGAGACCAAGACACTATCAAAAATATTGAAACTGGTCTGCAGTCAATGTGGAAATAATTAATGATTAACTCTTTCTGAGGGATCTTTTCATTGGTGAACCTGAGGTGACTGTGCCAGGTTTCTGATGAAACCAGACTGTTCCACCATTTAATGCCTTTACCAAATATCTATAATACTTGACCTACCTCATCATTCACTGAAGCTAACAAATTTTAGAAATCCACTTCAGATTCCTCCAAATAAATAGAATTTACACCTGTGACCCTTCCAAGTGAACAAAAAGTCTCTTACTTTTCTAAAAAGGTAATTTTGAAAATCCTAGAAATATCTTCACCTTCCTTTCATTTCTTCCCTCCATAGGATTCAAAAAGGAGATGTAGAAATACTACATACAAGTTCTAAGTACTTCTTCAGGGTTCAGCCAACTCTCTTCTCGCAATGGAGTTCTAGAAAAATTGAGACAAATAAAGTAGGACTTAAGTTCCAAGGGGGATATTATGTGCCTGTAGTTATAAATATATGGACTGGATTTTCGCACCAGTTATTTATTGTATGGTATAATCACTCCAAATGGTGAAAGATCAGACAAAGAGAGGAGAAAACAGTTTCTAAGAGCAATTTTAAATAAACTCCTTCATTTTAAATGGCCATAGCAAGGTGCTATAAAAAACAGATATGCTAAAAAAAAAAGAATGAACAATTTTCAAGTGTAAATCAGAGGGTATGGGGAGAGCCTGGATGCTGCAGGGTTAGAAAATAAAATGGTTTCTTGTCTTCAGCTTTTGCAGGTAGAAAATGACTCTCAAGATATGGCCTGGAGACAACAATCAAGTCAAGAGGATAGAGAGAGTTGTTCAATTAGAGCGTGAGAGACAAAATCCAAATTCACATGATTTGTGGGGAAGCATGGTCTCAGCGTAAAGACCCAAATGGGTGTGGCTATGCCATTGCAAAATATCATAAGGTGTCTTTGACTAGATCTTTCAGCTGGGCAAAGCCTCATATAAAGCTTCAAGGTATGGTACTATAGCCCCTGATATGCCCAAAATGTTAATAATTACATCTGGAAAGAGAAACATGCCCTGAAAAAAAATGTGATTTTGACACATGGAATGAACTGACATCAAGTATAAAGAAAGTCTCCTAAGTTTTAGAAAGAGCAATATTGCTAAGTAATGATAATTGTAACTAAAATAGAGGGAAACTGAGAGGGAGGGAAAAGACCTCTGAGCTTCCATTTATCTACAGGGAGAAAACAGCCTTTGGAAAACATCTGAGACACCAAAAAAAAAATTAAAAACAGCATATGAGGAAGATGATGGAAGAGAAGGTTGCAGAGGATAGATCCAGGAACTGTAGAGAACAATAGGCTAGCAATCTGCCACCCACACCCCTATCCTCTTTCTCAACCTCGATTTCCGCTTTCTGTTTGGGAACAGAACCAAAATCTAATCAAGAAACATCCCTACTCCTGTGCCAGGAGAACTTGAATAATTTGCCTAGAAGGATTTCAGAACTGCTAAGGACCAATCTTGCTGCATTTGAAAGTGTTTACTGTGATTATCCTATCCCAGTTATATCATTACATAGTATATGTGTATGGTGGGGAGAGAGCACATAACTTTTGTTTTTAATTCTTAGGTCCAATTAGATGTCTGGACCTGAAATATAACATGAAGTTCTAAATTTGATCCTGATGCCATGATTGGGTGGGATTTCTAGGTCCTTTGATAGGGATGAGGATATTTTTCATGTTGGACAATGTGGATAATGTGGCCAAAGTCACTGATTGAATTACTGGCTCACATTCTTTGTGTTTTATTTTTTTTAGATACAAGTTTCATGTATTTCATATATACAGATTTAGGCACACAGTGATACTTCCCTTTCTACCCTCCCTCCTGCCCATGCTACAACCTTTCTTCCTCCTCCGTCTCACATGCCCACTCTTAATTTTTAAAATGATGTATTTTAAGTTTATTTAATATTCATATAGTTAACCCTGTATTAAGTAAGAGTTCGACAAATAGTATGAAGTAAAAATTCTGATCTCAAAGGAAGAGAAAAGGGCTACAAACATTCATCAAATCTAAAATTGTCGAGAGGGAGGAGGCAAGATGGCGGAATAGGAAGGGAGCACACTGATAGTCCAGGGAGAGACAGTTTAATAAAAGTGGAGATACTGCAGGTTCAAGGAAGAGTAGGGGAGGAAACAGCAGAAGAAACTCTTCCAGAACGCGTGATTCACAGTGGACCTGCGTGGAGAGTGTGGGAGCCCACAGTTCGGGACACCAGTGGCAGACTCAGCACACCAGCGCTGGAACGCGAGGTGAGCTGAACCTCAATAGCCCGAGACACCGGCAGGCAAGCAGAGAGAGGAGACTAGAGGGAATGACCCCCGGGGGGGAAAAGTTCACCAGGCTAACTGGAAGAGAGAGAGAGAAAAAAAAAAGGTGACTGGTACGGACATGGGTTTCTCTCTCTCTGCTCACCTCTCAAGGGCGAGCAAGACAAAGAGCAGGCGCCATCTTGGACATATGTCATAAGCAGAGCGACCTCAGGTCTGCACTGGCCCTGAGCCTAGCAGAAAAACCTGACTCTGGGTGGGGCGAATTAACAGGAGATTAGGACCTAGTAAATTTGTGGTGCTACTGAACTGAGACTGTGAAAAAAAAAAAACGGTGGGGGAGAGAACACATGGAATTCACGTGAGTACTCTCCAGAGACGCTACAATTCCGTAACTTTGGCAACCCAGTGGGAGACTGAAGGAGAATCTGAGCCCACTCTGAGGGCAGAACAGATTCCCTGTGTGGTCCTTGGGAAAGAGCTTCTGATCTCTGGCTCCTGTGGGTATATTATTTGTCTGCTAACTACCTCCAACTTCGTTCAGCTGTGCAGAATTACTTCCCTTT